ATGTAGACATTTATTTGTATGATGTAGTTACTAGCCAAGTGCTAAATAAATAAAGTTATTATTATTATTATTATTAAGGTTATGGACATCGCTCCCATAGGCAACTCGTCTTGAGAGATAAGGTGGACATTTATATTTAAGTATTTTGTAGAAAATATGATAATATGCTATAATAATAGAAAATATAGTATAATTTCTTATTGGTTGAAGAGATTTTATTTCAATTTTTTTCATTACGGAAATGTTGCCGGACGGAGACCGTAGACCATAGAGTTGGGCCAGTAATCCAGTAGAAAAGTTGAATAATTGTACGGTAGATTTTTTGCTAATTAATTTTTAAGGGAATTAGTTCTATATCTTTGAGAAAAACACAAACATCGTAATATTTCAAAAACTATTGAGTTTTGCATGAAGCTTGTTAAGGTTAAATTCACTCCTTACCTCATCCACTATCACATCTCCGAAGGAATGTATTAAATTACCAATAACTCTGTATAGTGTGTGTTTATATTGTAAAAATGTCATCAGGCTTGAATCCAGTAAAATGTGAGGGCGTTCTTGATTCCAAATTCAGAACTATAGTATTGAATGCACTGCCATAGCGAAAGGGATAACGATCTCCATCCGTTACAGAGTCGCAGCCCAGATGCCTTTAAGTACTCTCCGAATTATAGTGCAAATATGACAGGGATCAGCGAAAAACATTTTGGAAAATATTACACGAATTAAACTTTTGTTGGGAGAAGACAATATCTAAGAGATGCGATGTTAGAAAGTATAGAAGATAACAAAGAAACATTCATTACTTGGACGAAACGTATGGGTTAACCAAGGACACACAGTAAATAAATTCTAATAAGGTAAAAGTGTCCACAATTCTCGCCAGGAATTTATGGTAAGGGCCTCGGGTTGATAATAACTCACCTGGATAGTGATAGAGGAGGCTTTTCAAATGGAGATTTGCTTGAATTCGAATCAAAATTAACCAACGATTACCATGAAAAATGACAGCCGATGTTTTTGAAGACTACTTTTCTGAAATGAAATCATCAATTCCTAAAGGTTCCGTCATTATCATGGACAACGACAGCTATCATTCCAGACTAGCAGAAAAATTACCTTCATGAGCCTGGCGGAAAGACATTCTAAATGATGAAAGAATACGCTATAAAAATTAATTTAAAAAAAATTTACCTAAAGCAAAAAATCACAGTTCAAAAGACATATTGTTGATGAAATGGCTTAGGAACTTCGTTTGCCACCCTACCATTGCGAATTGAGCCCGATTGAACTAATAGGGGCTCAGGTGGAAGGATTTATAGCAAGAAAACACCACCTTCAAATTACACGATGTATTATACGAGAACTGTTAAGAACGTCGTTAAATCAAGTAACTGCAGAAAACTGGGGCAATGCAGTAAACCATGTAATAAAGGAAGAACAAAACATGTGGAATCTTGACAGTCTCGTGGAAAAGAATGTAGAACCATTTATTTGTGACCTGTGACTCAGATGAGAGTGTCGCTCAGAGAATTGAACATTTTTCTTAGTCACTTAACACTTTTCCCACTGAAATGTATTTATTCTGCCTTAGTTCTATAATATGTTCTAAATATTATCCTGTTTCTATTGCAAAAGGTAAACTTCTTGACGATTTGTTATGTTCCAAAATATCGGACTAAACTCATGTTCAGGGTTGTTCTTGGGGAATTTTCGTGTGTGCCTACAGCAACACTCAAATAGTGCCACTTAATAAAAATTGATGGCAGAGGATTTTTTGACTCTTTACCCATTTCTTTTTATTACATGATTAAAAGAAGAAAGATATAATCCTGGTATTCTTTCGATCTGAATAAAGTGATTGTGATCACATGAGGTTTTTTGATGAGGCGTCAAAAAAACAGTTGGGGCCAATGAAATTGTTGAAAAACCGAATGAAAATTGTTTGAATATCAATAGCGAGTCACCTCCGGGTTGGTTTTAACTCCAGGGTAACCGTGTCCAGTTGCTATGTTTACCGCGGAGTTATGTTTAACCCGGGGGTGACTCGCTATTGAGAAACCGTCTCTATATTTCATATATTTACTGCTCGTACTTTTGCTCTCATTTGACAGCCGTTAAAAATAATCAGGGTTAGAAGTGCTCTAACCAGGTCTATAAACCTAGCAGTCCCAAGGTGAAAAAAAACTTTGGGAACTATATAATAATAAGGTGCTTTTTAGGTGCTAATTAGGGCCTCTAATTAAAAATTGGGTGCTCCTTTAGTTTTTGAGAAAATCAAAAAAAACTAAGGAATTGCTAGGTTTATAAAAGCTAGCAGTCCCCTATAATAGTAGGAAATATTTTTTTAAATTTTTTCTTTGTATCAGAATTAGGTGCTTTTTAGGTGCTCCTAAATAGTCCAAGAAAAACTAGAATTGATTATTTATTAACTGAGTTAACAGATTTTTTTTAAAATTATTAGGGGACAGGCTTTACGTTTACTTGTTGGTGTGTCAGAATGACACAAAAACTTCGGGATCTATATAATAATTAGGTGCTTTTGAGGTGCTAATTAGGGCCTCTTATTAAAAATTAGGTGCTCCTCTAGTTTTTGAGAAAATCAAAAAAAACTAAGGGATTGCTAGGTTTATGAAAGCTAGTAGGTAGTCCCCTATAGTGAAAAATATTATTTCAAAAATTTCTTTTGTATCAGGATTAGGTGCTTTTTAGGTGCTCCTAAATAGTCGAAGAAAAAATAGAATTGAATAATTATTGACTGAGTTACAGATTTTTTTTTAATTATTAGGGGACTCTAGCTTTACGTTTACTTGTTGGTGTGTCAGAATGGCAAAAAAACTCCGGGATCTATATAATAATTAGGTGCTAATTAGGGCCTCTAATTAAAAATTAGGTGCTCCTCTAGTTTTTGCGAAAATCAAAAAAATCTAAGGGATTGCTAGGCTTACGAAAGCTAGTAGTCCCCTATAGTGAAAAATAATTTTTCTAAAAATTTCTTTTGTATCAGAATTAGGTGCTTTTTAGGTGCTCCTGAATAGTCGAAGAAAAAATAGAATTGGTCAATTATTAACTGAGTTACGGATTTTTTTTTAATTATTAGGGGACTCTGGCTTCACGTTTACTTCGGGATTTATATAATAATTAGGTGCTTTTTAGGTGCTAATTAGGGCCTCTAATTAGAAATTAGGTGCTCCCCTAGTTTTTGAGAAAATCAAAAAAAAATAAGGAATTGCTAGATTTATGAAAGCTAGTAGTCCCCTGTAGTAAAAAATATTTTTCCAAAATTTTCTTTTGTATCAGATTCAGGTGCTTTTCAGGTGCTCCTAAATAGTCGAAGAAAAAATAGAATTGATCAATTATTAACTGGGCTACAGATTTTCTTTAATTATTAGGCTGCTGGCTTTACGTTTACTTGTTGGTGTGTCAGAATGGCAAAAAAACTTCGGGATCTATATAACAGTTAGGTTCTTTTTAGGTGCTAATTTAGGCCTCTAATTGAAAATTAGGTGCTCCTTTAGTTTTTGAGAGAATCAAGAAAAACCAAGGGCCTGCTAGGTTTATGAATGCTAGGCTAGCAGTCCCCTATAGTGAAAAAACTTTTTTTTTTTTTCTGTATCAGAATTATGCCCGTATTACATCTGTGTATTTCTCCGTGTATTTATTCATGTACCTAGTTCAGGGTGCCAACATTATTTTGTTTTTCATAATGCTGGTTTATGTTGCGTTTGAAGTTTTTCGGTTGTCACCCTGAACTACATGAATAAATACACGGAAAAATACACAGATGTAATACAGGCATTAGGTGCTATTTAAGTGCTCCTAAATAGTCGAAGAAAAACTTGAATCAGTTAATTATTAACTGAATTACAGATTTTTTTCATTATTAGGAAATTGTTGGTTTCACTTTTACTTGGTGATGCGTCAGAATAGAAAAAAAAATTCGGGGTCTATATAATAATATTAATTAAGTGCTTTTTAGGTGCTAATTAGGGCTACTAATTAAAAATTAGGTGCTCTTTTAGTTTTTGAGATAATCAAAAAACAAAGGGACTGCTAGGTTAATGGAAACTAGCAGTCCCCTAAAGTAAAAACTATTTTTATTTTTTCAAATTTTTCGTTTGTATCAGAATTAGGTGCTTTTTAGGTGCTCCTAAATAGTCGAAGAAAAAATTGAAGCGATTGATTATTAACTGAGTTACAGATTTTTTTTTCATTATTAGGGGACTGCTGGCTTCACGTTTACTAGTGGTGTGTCAGAATGGAAAAAAACATCGAAATCTTTATAATAATTAGGTGCTTTTTAGGTGCTTATCAGGGCCTCTAATCAAAAATTAGGCGCTCCTTTAGTTTTTGGGGAAATCAAAAAAAACTAAGGGACTGCTAGGTTTATGAAAGCTAGATCCACCACAATGCTCACAGTCACAGGTAGGGACTGAAGTTACTAGCACTAAAATAAAATGAATAAAAAATACAATGGAATAGAAATAACCAAAAAATTTTGCTCCAGCTTTAGTTTTACTCATCTTAAAAATTCAAAAAAGGATAATACCTAATAAATGTGAAATCGTGCCAAATTTCTCGAAGTGGTGCCACCGTGCATTTTGCGGGCGAAAAGTGCCACTTTTGGCACAATTGTGCCGTTTGAACAACACTGCTCATGTTAAAGTTTTGTGACACTATCATATTCAAGCCGGTACCGAGTGTGTCCGTGAAATATAAAACTACCTGGTTTATGCTTCTGTTACATTAATGTATTATACAATGATCATCCTTTTTTTTTGTGCGTTTAAATTTATAATGAGGTATTGTGTTTCTACCGAAAAGGAAAAAAACTACCTGTATAAGATTATTTTTTTTTTACAAAAATGATCAGTTATATCAGCGTGAATTACCAGCGTTTGAAAAGAAATCAAACCATGCACTTCTAGGGAAAACCCGTGAAAATGACAGGCAACGCCGCCTACAACCTACAATATTCCTCTCCGAATATTTGGGTAAGCGCGCGTACAGCGTACAGACCTCTCGACTGTCGAGAGACAAAACGAACTCGTAGACTCGCGCTCGCCGTTAACACACTCGACTTTCGTTTTTCTTGATTAAAGCTCCAAGCTCCGTCATCCGAGATGCTGGCGAGCTCGGTAAATTACGGTCGCAAATCGTATCGGAAGCCTTAAATACGTCCAAAAAACTTTATTCGATTTAAGTGGGAATGATGATGAGTGATTCCTTAGCATCTTCGTCCGACTCTAAAGCAACTCCAGTGCTTTTGTTTTCGTCTGTTCACCTGGCGCGGACAGTGTATTATTAGTCCCGCAGGTGTTTTTGATGCTCATGTTGTTTTCGAAATAAAAGATGGCCCTAAGAACCTACCTGCAGGACTTTTCTACCTGAACTTTTTAAGATTACGCCCTTTATTAGGCTATCCGGTGTATAATGTCCGTTCGATTCAGTGGTCTTTTCGTGGTACCCGGCGAAAAATCTTCAACACCAAATATGCACGAAAAAAGTCCCAACAATCCACCACAAAGAGTGAAGAATGTCGCTATAGTAGCTCCAACTAGAAGCAATAGCTTAGACTATCTTAACTTTGAGGAAAGGAGGCAATTAATAGCCTCTAGTTTGAGCCTATCAGATTTTTTGAGCGCTGGGAAGGAGGCCAAAGAGATCAAGGAGATCAAAGACACCGGTGTGGCCACTGTTATTGTGGGTGAGTTTGATCATCACATACTTGTTTATGCAATTTAGATGTGACACTTGTTAGAGTTTCTGCTTACAAATTCTTCTCAAAATACCGTTGCAATGAAGAGAAAAATACCTATATCGGATTTCGAAATATCCTCTCAGTAAGCTGTCATTTTTTTTTTCTAGGTAGCCGCCAAGCTTCAAATTTAAACCCCTTTTTTCATCGCTTTTTTGGCAATACATATATAAAATTACCACTTTCTTTGTCTATGGATGTTAGAGCGTTTTTAGGGAATTTAGGCATTATGTTGAGTTTTGCTCCAAATTCAGCTTGTACAACATTTTAGGTAAACATGTACCGAATTTATTAAAAATCACTTGATTTATAGAAGACATATCATATGAATTTCCGGACACCCTGTATATTTATTGATAATTTCCTTTTAACTATTGCACATATAGCTCCAATGTTTATAATTAGTATGTTTGTTTATTAACAGATACTGTTAAATATTTACTTTGATGGCCAATTAGTGTTATGTAAACAAAAATGACAACTTTTTTTATCACATAATTAGCTATTATTGTTGTCTTTGTGGCGGGTTCCTGATATTTGTTTATAATAGATCTTGTTTATAGCTTTATGCTAAGATTTGAAATTAAATAATATGTATAAATATAATAGTATTTTTGTAGCCTCACCTGTCTTGCCATCTAGGAGGAGCTTATAATAGTCAACTATTAAGCAAGTTGGTCACTGACCATTCACAACATTTAATAATAGATGTTGTTATGAATTTAAAATTTAAATAGATTAAATATCCAAATTCATAAAGTAATTAATGATTTTTTGGCTCAGATTTTTTTTTTAATAACTCTGGACCCTGTCCAGAAATATGATGTTGAATGAATAAGTCATCTGTTTTGATATTTCTGGAACGTTTGTACCGTTTTACTGTAACTCAAAATTCGCCCACGCCTGGAATTCTGTAAAAATTATTCAAAGAGAATATTATTGCATCTCCAAATCGTATCATTTCACTTTCTTTTTTTTTTTCACACTTTAAATAACATAATTATTGTATTTTCCCTGGGTAAATATCGCAATCACAAGCAATAAAGCGGGGAACAACAGTAAAACGAACAGACCGTCAGACGGGTAATTAAACGTAGGAAGTACCTATTCTACTTTAAAATTTAAAATTCTAAGGAAAAGTTATGATGAGAAAGCGTTCAGGTGAAAACATATTAGTTTTACTTTTCGTTGCACTTTGTTAGGGATGGGCAACTGAGATCCTCTTAAAGGGAAATCAATTAATAATAATTTATATTTTATATGTTTATTTAGATCCAAATATCACGCACTATTGTATCGGGGTCTTCAAAAAAAAATACAAATCAAAGATTGCTATGGTTTTTCAAACGTATGTCTTAGCAATATTTTTCTTTGATTTTGTCAATGAACTTTAACGTCAAAATGTCATGTCAAAAATCCTGACGAATAAAGAAACAATAATACGACGTACGTTTTCGTAAGCAAAGTAATCTTTGATTGTTTTTTTTTTGAAGATCCGATATTTTTAATACCTATTTGGAAGTACCAGTCGTTCTAGTGACTTAACGTATGTCGCTTCTTAGGAATTTCCTATTTGTACATGAAATTGACGTATTAGCAATCAACGTTCGTTTTTGTTTCTTGTTTCATCGGATTCGTGATTGATAAATGAGGATGGAGTGATTCTAAATGGGTATTAAAAACACCATACTACGTTCTATTTAATGTATAAATGACCCTAGATAACAAAACAAGAAGCGGAAGTTAAATTTAGTCGCACCCCCTTTCTCTATCAAAAATAAGGGTGCCCACGCCGTTTTATCCACCACATTCCTTGTATACCTATCATTTTTATAGAAAAATAATACCTCTGTATCAGTATTTTTTTTTTTTAACTTTTTTAAATTCCTTTACAGAAGGAAATGGCGCTAACCGAAAATGTAAGGGAAAACAAAGATTTTATAAAAAAGGTAAACAACAATGATTCTATGTTTTGTGCTAACAAACAACTAAAAATGGAACGGTGTGACGTATTTTACTAAAAAGAAATCTTTGTAATTCTGTCTCCTTATTGTCTTTTTCTTGAGAAATTAATTATTGTCTATTGCTAACAAATCTGAATCTCAAGTCTCTATATTTATTTCTATGGCATGCAATTAAAAAAAGGCCTCTACCAAAATCCTAGATTTTTTAAATTATTATGATTGTTATGATAACTGGTTGCTCGGAGTTTGCCTCTGCATAGCAATTAGGAAAAAAGTAATTACTTAGAATTGAAGAGGTAATTAGACCATGGCTAACTAGTCCTAATTGTTGTTTTCGGTGCAGGAATGCGAATAGAAGTCATGTTGTTTTTCTTTTGAGATGCATCCTAATAACGACCCAAGAAAAAGCGCTAATTACCTAGTTGGAATTGTATTAACTATAGACTATACGTTTTCTCTTGGAATTCAAATGATAATGTTTTTCAGAAGCTACTTAAACAATATATAGCCCCCCCACTGGTACTTATTTATTTTTAAATCTGACTGGCAGAATAATAGCCATATTATCCCAATGCCTGTCCACCCACGTCTGTGCATTATGACTTTTATGTTCCTTGCATAAATTTTAAAATGAAAAGTAATAAAATTTAACGACAGTATAATCGGTGCGTAAAAGTTATGCACGAACGGACGTACATATTGGATCTATTGTTGAAAACTCTCTGATTTTCAAAAATGATAATCCAAGCGACAAATTTCATAATTTTTTGGGGCACAATGAACAGTTCATTTCCCATAGCAAACAAAACGTTCAGGTTCTATCGTGATGCAAATTCACATAATTATGCTATGGTAAAAGTACTGGGTAATTTATTGCGAACTAAAAAACTAATATTCAATGTTTTTAACAAAAGGTCGTTTTACGTAATGAAAATTAGTGGGAAATATTTTGATGTTAGCCGTACGATTAGCGTTTTTGAAACAACAACAAAAAAAAAAGAAGAATAGAGGGCCAATTATTACCTTCAAAAATTTATATGTTGCTAACTCCATAATTTGCTGACATTTGATCAACCTTGTATTTTACACAAATGGTTTCCACGTTGCCAATTTGTTATATCCTCTATGCTTTCAATTTCAAATAACATAATTGACCCTCCCTAATTATGATGTCACTTTAGGTATATTGAGGATTGACTTTTTTTTTTAAAGATTTTCGTTTGCAAATTTTGTTTTACCCACTTTGAATCCGATATAATTATGTAGATACTTTTAAACATGCAAAATCGAGTTGTCCTCAAAAAATGATTTGTGCCAGAGGATGTAGTTTTTGGGTGGTTTTATGAAAATTGTCAAAAAATATTTTTTATAAACTTTGTCAGATATCGCGGATTACCTCGAAAATATATCCAATTTCAATATGGTAATTTGTGAGGTGTTACATCCTTGCGTTTCGTCCTGAAGATGCGAGATAGAGTCAGATTACCTCTATATTCAGGCATATCTGTTCTTTTTCGGATCCTCCCAGGGATTAGAACTAAAGCAAGGGAGAAACTCCCGACAAATTTTCACATCCACTCGAGGGAACGCAGGAAATCTTATGGAATCCAAAAGGAAGTTTGGAGAAATCCGATAAAATACGGAAAATTGTTGAGGAATTCTGAAGAAAATGTAGTTCAAAAGAATTTAGAGCATGAGGAATATGTATTTATCAAAAAATTAATGATGTTCCTATGGAAAATTTTGGAAGATTTTCTTTTTGGGAAGTTCTTACCTTCACTCGAAGAAGTGCAAAAAAGTATATAAGGGAAGCTTTAAGAAAGTCTGTAGAAATCCGGAAAAGTATTCAAAGAAGTTCAACTGGGTAATAGGATGTTTGCTTATTAATTATCATCAAAATCTTCTTTAATTCATGAATTTGATTCGTATTCCATGACGTTTACTATAAATTTCGAACTCTTATTGTCTAAGTCTTCAACTGATCATAATGTTGTTGATCTTAATGTAAACTTTGAGGGTAAAAATGATAGGGCTACCTTAAAGTTAAATAATTTGCTTACCTCATAATATAACCCGTGTAACAAATACATCATCAAATACTCCGTATTATGTAACTTTAGATATCAATGAAAATGTTTATGTCTGATCATACCTTCAATCTAGCGCTTGAAAAATAATTGTACTAGTAGAAGATTGGGAAGAATTTTTGATTGGAAACTGTTTTTTTTTAATTTACATTAATAGTCTTATCACGCTAGATAATAGGGGCCAATTCAGTTTGGTGTAAGAAATGATCTTAGGAACAAATTAAACATATGTATCTGAGACTTTCGGAAATAAATTTTAAAAAATTAAAGAATTCTTGCAGACTTGACAAAAACTCGGGTAAGTTTTGATTTAGTTCCAACATTTTTGCTGCTGGGAAGCTTCAAAATGGAAATTATCGAACATTGGAAATTTCCCAAAAATGACACTGAGACAGTTTTTGCCTTACAGCTCCTTCAGTTTCCATCCGATATCAACGTAATTAGCCTCTAACTGAAGCCAATTAAATTATCTAAAAATCTATCGATTTAGATTCTAATTTGCTTCCAACAATTTTGCACCTGGAAAGCTTCAAATTAAAATCATCGAACATTGAAAATTTTACAAAAATGACACTGAGACAGTTTTTGCCTCACAGCTCCTTCAATGGTCATCCGATTTCAACGCAGTAAGGCTCTTATTGCGCCAATTAAATTCTCTACAAATCTTTTAATCAAGGCTTGAATTCAGTTTCAACAGTTTTGCAGCTGAGAAGCTTCAAAATTTAATTTATCGCACATTGAAAATTTTCCAAAAATGGCACTGGAACAGTCTTCGCCTCACAGTTTCATTAATTTTCATCCGATTTCACTATAATTAGGATCTAATTAAAGCCAATTGAATTCTCTACAAACCTGTTGATCAAGATTTTAATTAGGCTTCAACAGTTTTGCAGCTAAGAAGCTTCAAAATTGAATTTATTGAAAAAATGACACTGAGACAGTTTTTGCCTCACAGGTGCGTTAATTTTCATCTGATTTCAACGTAATTGAATTTAAAGTCAATTAAATTCCCTACGAACCTAATAATTGAGATTTTAATTTAGTTTCAACAGTTTTGCAGCTGAGAAGATTCAAAATTGAATTTATCGAACATTGAAAATTTTCCAAAAATGACACTGAGACAGTTTTTGCCTCACAGCTCCGTTAATTTTCATCCGATTTCAGTGTAATTAAGCTCTAGTTGAAGCCAATTAAATTCTCTAAAAACCTATCAACTAATATTTAAATTTGGTTTCAACAGTTTCGCACCTGCGAAGCTTCAAAATTGAATTTATCGATCACTGAAAATTTTCCAAAAATGACACTGAAACAGATTTTGCCTCACAGCTCCGTTAATTTTCATCCTATTTTAGTGTAATTAAGCTCTAATTAGAGCTAAGTAAATTCTCTACAAACATGTTAATTGAGGTTTCAATTATTTATTCACTAGTTTATTAGTACAAACTCTTTTATTCAGTTAGTTGTTATCTTGAGAAAAGTTCCTTCTGATTTTTACTTTTATATCTAAGAATTGTTGAATTAATACCTACTAGTTGACTATTTTTCCTTGGGATTTTTATTTTGTTAATTATAGATAAGAAAAATGTGTATAATCTTAAATTTTGGTGTGGTCAATTAATTCTGAGCACATCTGTAAGCAAATCCATAACTAAATGTAAGCCTATAGACACTGCAAAACGCGGAAATATTTACGTTTCTGAAAGATTTTCTGTAAGCTACAGGAAGTGCAGAATTGCAAATTGTCTAAAGGCAGCTAGGCTTATAGACATTTGAAGATTTGCTTTCAGATGTGCACAGAATTAACCCGTAAGGTAAAAATGAGTTCTGCTTAAGTGGGGTTTTGACACAAAAAGCCCAAAGCCCACTGGGTTTTGTCAATATTGATAGTGGATTTTGTGTTAAAAACCCACCCAAATCGGTTTTTGTGTATGCCAACCCTGAATTCTTGACAGTGTGTTAAATCATCATCCATCAAAAAAGGTTGTTGAAAAATATGGAAAAATACAAGTGTTTGATCAAAACTCCAATACACTGCTAGTTACTCATACCATGAGTTAATATCGCTTTGTCAGATTTACGCAATATGTGCGGTTTTACTTTATAAGACTGTGTGCAATACAAACTCATCGTATGGGTAATTAGCAGTGCGTTGGAGTTTTGGTTGTATTTTTCTATATTTTCCAACAACATATGTAATTTTATAATATTCTGGTGAAATTTCACTTTCGAAATAACTATGCAATGTGAATTCCTAATTCCTAACCATAAAAGTGGTTAGATTGTGCCGTTAATTCCTTTTCAAAAAAGCACATCATACATATTTATTAAATATGTGTGAACAATGCTCAATGAATAAACAATACATAATTCAGTTGAGGTTTTTTTTTTCAAAGCGTAGCTAAGGTTTAACAACATTATGCATCTTCCTGCATTGCTCAAGTCAAGAATAACATCAAGGTTTTAGTTTGGAATATCATTAATACCGAGGTACGGATTTTTATTATTGACTAATGTTCCTATTTGGTAAAAATTTTATTTACCGATTTTGCAGCTTAAACTAGAACAAAAATCGAAAAACAACAATCTCTACCAATACTAACCACATAGTGGCTGCGTACAAATTGCACTTATCAAGTCGTTTTTGCGGAAATGGCAAAATGGTTTTAGCAAAAACCATTTAGAAATTATCTTTAATGGTTCATTTGTTTAATAATACCTACTATTTTTAAGATCAAAACTGGACCGACACGCGTAATAATGTATGAATGGCACCGATGTTTGTCGAAGCATGAATGTTTCTTTCGCTTTTGCAAATGTTTGTTATCTTCTACATGGATTATCACTTTACCAATGTACTTTTGCTAATTTGAATTTGTATCTTGAAATCTCCACTAATGA